TCATTTTGTCCATTACATGGAATATTTATCTTTTATTACATGGCTGTGTGAGGAAATATGCCATATTTTTTGTTATCCTGTATAATCAAGGCAAGGTTTATCTTGTACTGTCTGGCTGTGTGAAACTGCAACTATACCCATTTCTCTACCTGAACTACCTGATCACACTAAAAGCCAGTGCCATTATTCTAGTGATGCTTTGTTTGTGATGGGAATGAGAACTAAATTTGTTCCAAACATGGCAAGAGGTATCAGAAAAACAGTCTTCACCAAAAAATTGGTTAGGCAGCCTATCAAAATTCACCTTATTTTTCTACATATTTTACCCAGTAATTTCCCTGGTCTCCTTCATGTGTCCTAACAATACCAAGACTATGGAATATGGGGGGGGGGGGGGTCTGCAGCATCAATCCTACACCTATGAGTAGAAGACGGCAGGAGGGATGCATCAGCGCCGACATTTCCATCATCTGAATGCCCAAAAGTTTGAAATATTTAGCTAAACGTAGTCTGCATTATGCAAAATTCAAGAAAGTATTCCCATGTCGAAATATTTACGAGTGGCATACTCCACCCTCAACTCCAACACTACTCTGATACTCACCCGGTATTTCTTATTATTGAGCACCAGGTTCTTGATGGTTCCCTCCTTATTTTCGTAACGTTTCAGAAGCTTCGCAGCCTCTTTGTATAATTTGGGCACAGGGATGGAGTGAGGCCTTTTCTCCATGTTAAATGATAAGGTTACAGGTTTCGACAACTTTTCACGTGCTGCACTTCCAAACTCAGAGCCGCATGTAGGGATTCCTTGTAAAGAAAGCACTGCACGTGGCTGGCTCACTTTCCCTTGAATTTTCTCACGTAAATACATTTGCTCAATTTAAGTATTGTATGTACCCGGTTATATGCTCTGTCAGTATTACTCTTCCGATTGCTGTTGCCATTGCTATTATTGTTATTATCGTGTGTATTATTATTGTTATTGTTTTTATTATTATTATCATCATCGTTATTATTATTATTATTATCATCATCGTTATTATTGTTATTAATATCATCTTCATTATCCTAACTATTATTTATCATTATAATTATATTTATTATAATTATATCTACTATTAATTATTGATGTTGTTTCTATTATTATTATTATTATCATTATTATTATTAGTAGTAGTAATAGTTGTAGTTGTACTATCATCATCATCATTATTATTATTACTATTATTATCATTATTACCATTGGTAGAAAAAAAAGCAAAAACTCGATTTACTGTATTGTGGGTTTTTCTACCATAGTATATACACGGAAGAGTGTTATACCATTCATTATTATCATTATCACCATCTTCATCATTATCATAATTATTATCACTGTTGTCAGTATCATTGTCATTGTTATTATCATTATTATCATCATCATCCTTACCATCATCATTATACATTATCATTACTATCGTTATGATCATAGTAATAATAATGATATGATGGTGTTCATAATGATAATGATAATAGTAATAATAATAATTATTATTATCATTATCATTATGAACACCATTATTGTTATTATTTTTACTAAGATCATTACTATCAGTATCATTATCATTATCTGTTACCATTTTGCATGAACATGAATTTTGTTTCTTAAAGAGTAACAACTATGTGAATCAAATGTATGATATTCATCTCAGAATTTGTTCTTGTACCTCTAAATATGCATAAGATTAAAAAAATAAATAAATAAAACGCGTTTTATATTTATAGCCTTTTGAATGAACAAATACTGGGCCCAAAACGTCGTCTGCTACAGCTTATAACTCAAATATTACCAGTAGCGCCACCAACCCGGGAATGACGTCATGAGTTGTGTTCATTTTCTTTGTCATGAGAACCTTTTGTGTGATATTTTCGTGTGATATTTGATGGCGGCCATCGCTGCGGCCCGACCAGTAATAGGTGTAGCCACCCACACTAATCGTTATCATTGTTATCACCATTATAATCATCATTACCATTATTAGCTCTAACATTATTATTATCAGTAATTACAATCATAAATACAATAATAAAAATTAGCATTATCCATGCTATCATAATTAGTAATATATAAACAATAATATTTATCATAATTATTATACTACTGTTATTACACTATAATCATTATGATGATACCCAATTCACTTCAGTCTGATACTATATCTTAGTATCATTATTGTTCTTTTTGTTATTTTATCATCATTTTCATTATTGGTATTATCAGCTTTTGATGTATTTTTATATTTTTTTCCTATTTTAGTACCAGTTAAAGCATTATAACTATCAACTTTTGTCATTATATTATGGTTCATTATATGATGCCATATTTGTAATTATAATTATAATTTATAATTAAGTTTCATTAATATTATAACTATCTTACAACAAGTCCAACATTATGGATGTGATTATATTAATTAATGTCATTACTATTATCAAGATATTTGCTTCAGTACCTATTTTTATCATTGTCATGTTACACTTATATAGTTTTTTTTCATCTCTATAATTTTCACTATGAATATATTATTACCATAGTTATCCCTTCATTTTTGTGATACCAATAATATTTCGTTAACGGTTACTGATCTTTGTTTTGGTAACTGTATACAATTCATTGAAATGTAAAAGATTTGCAAGCAATGTCAAATAATGGTTAATGGTTAATGGCTAAAAATAAAATAAATGTGCCAGACATCTCAGATCATGTAGCACTAAAGGAAGGTACAGTAAAGAGTAGTGAAGGGCGGTTGAGTTAGTGCTTAGTTGCTATACGTCAGCTATCTAGATTAATATTGAAAAGGTTAAAAAAAATGGGCAAAGGATATGAATGAATTAATTAATATTACCAAATGAATTAATTAATATTACCAGGTTAAGGTCGGGTTAGGTAAAGGAGTTAGATCAAGTGAAGGATATGTATATATATGAGAAAGGAGAACAGGCTGTCAAAGGAGAAAGTGTGAGATGAAAGTCTCTTGAAGGTAGATAATGGATGGGTTATAAGAAGAAAGGATAAAACGAAGGTTAGGTCTGTGAGAACGGAAACTGCGAATATTCCAACTAGGGGGTTAGATAAGAAATGAAAGCGGGGAGGTGGTGTTGTATCAAGAGGTGGAGGATCTGAGGAAAGGCATAGTTGTGACATAAGGGATTCACGTGTGTATCCAGAAGGGAGTGGAAGGGATAGAGGGGATGGAGGGAGGGTTATTGTAGGTGGAGCTGGAGCGGGGGGGAATGGGCTGTGTTGGGAGGAAGTAGGAGGAAGGGGTGTAGGGGGAATATGAGTAAGAGGAGGATGAATATCGGCAGGGGCAAGGGTAGCAGGGGCAATCTGTCCCCAGGGAGTTCTGCGTCCCTGCCCCTAGCTAGCAGTTGGGGTCGGGCTGGCAACCCGGTCCCGTAAAAACCCTTACCAGCAGGCAAACCAAGTAAGGAGAGAAGGGGTCGGAGCCATCCCGGAGGAGGTGACTCCGACCCCGATTTGCAGCCGGGGGTTCCTGATCCCTGGCTCGGCGTCCTGACCAGGGGCTTACCTGATCAGGACGACGAGCCTGTTATGACGGGTGTAGGGCAAAGCCCTCCCAGGGAATCCTGCACCCTGAGGTTACGTGGTGGGGGGGATGGCCCCCCCGGCCCCCACTCTTCCTCCTTGGGAGGCATGCCTGGTTGTGCCGAGGCGTCGCCCGGCTGGAGCCCCACAAATGGGGTCAATCTGCGGCGAGCGTGCCGTGTAGCGGCCTGGAACATCCTCAGTCTCTCGGAGGATGATCGACTGCCTTTGTTGTCGGGGGAGCTGGGGAGGCTGGGGATTGCCATCGCTGCTCTCTCTGAGGTGCGACGGCCTGGTAGTGGTGAGACCAGTAGTGGGGGTTATACCTACTACTGGTCTGGCTGTAGCAATGGTGCGCGCCTTAGGGGAGTCGCGGTGGCTGTCTCTGACCGCTTCCGTTCCTCAGTCAAGAAGGTTACCCCTGTTGACGAGCGTATTCTGCTTGTGAGAATGAAGCACACTTTGGGCTTCATATCTCTAATTGCAGTTTACGCTCCTACTGAGGGAAGTGGGCTTGAAGAGAAAGAGATGTTCTACGCCAAACTTGACTCTATAGTGGATCAATGTCCCCGGGGGGACACCCTCATGGTCTTGGGGGACTTCAATGCAGTCACTGGCACTGACAGGGAAGGATACGAGCTATGCATCGGTCCCTATGGCTCTGGTACTAGGAACATCAATAGCTCATACCTCTTAGACTTCGCAAGATCTAGGAGGCTGAGGATTGCGGGCTCGTGGTACCAGAGACGAGATCTACACCGCTGGACTTGGTACTCCAATACTGGCGCTTGTAGCTAAAGAGATCGACCATATTCTCGTGGATACTCGCTGGAGGATCCTTCAGAACTGTAGAGTTTTTAGGAGTGCTGAGTTCTTTGCTACCGACCACAGACTTGTTGTCGCAACACTAAGGCTCCGCCTCAGATCTAGACGCATCCCGAGATCTCACCAGCAGGTGTTCCATCTCGAGAGGCTCAAGAGTGAGGAGGTGGCTCAGGAGTATGCAATGGCAGTCTCAAATCGGTTTGAAGTGCTTGGTACTCTACAGGACCCTGCTGAACTGTGGGATACCTTTAAGCGAGGAACTCTGTCAGCTGCCGAGGAGTGCCTTGGTGTCCGACCTCGGCGAAGGTGTGTTGTCTCAGACGAGACACTGAACACTATAGAGATGAGTCGTGCTGCCAGACTGGATGGGAACCATGTCTTGCACATGGAGCTGTCTCGCTCTGCTAGGGCCTCTCTGAGAGTGGACCAAGAGAGGTACGTTAGGGGCATCGTGGAAGAGTTGGAAGGTCATTTTGCCCAAAATGACCTTCGACCTGCTTTCCGAGCCCTGAGGGAACTCCGATCAAAGTCCATCTCTCAATCGGGCTCAGTGAGAGCAGAGGATGGTCGCATTGTGTCAGAGCCTGGTGAGTATAGGGCCCGCTGGGCTGAGTACTTTGAGCAACTGTATAGGGTAGATCCCCCGTCTTCACAACTCCCGTTGGCTGGCACACAGCCACTAATGGCTGATCCACCAATCAGTGAGGCACCACCTTCCATCGAAGAGGTGAGAAGGGCAGTGTCTAAGCTGAAAAGTGGAAAGGCTGCTGGAGTCTGTGGGATTGCTGCAGAGTTGTTGAAGGCGGGTGGAGAAGCCATGATCTGTGGTTTGCATGCAGTCCTGTCTGCCGTTTGGGAGACTGGTACCATTCCCCCTGACTGGAAAAGGGGCTTGGTCATCCCTATCTGGAAAGGGAAAGGGGACCAAAAGGACTGTGGCAACTACAGAGGTATTACATTGCTCAGCGTACCAGGCAAGGTCCTCGCTCATCTGCTTCTGGCACGAGTGCGCGACCACCTATTACGAGCACAGAGACCTGAGCAGTCTGGTTTTACACCCAAGAAGTCAACTATAGACCGTGTCTTAGCACTTCGTGTCCTTGTGGAA